TTTTTATTATTTGTGTGTGTGGGCTCTTTTAAATTTTATGGAGAATTTACACATGTAGCAGTTCTGCATTCTTAGGAACCATTGGTTTTGACAGATTCAGTATTTGTTTGGGAAGATGGATGTGGATATCAAGTAAATATGATTCAGCTCATAAAAAACATAATAAGGTGTACATTTCAAGCACAATATTATTTAATAAGTTACCCTTGAGTTACAAAAAAAGATCTTCATCCAGAAAAATCGTCGTAGTTAAGCTATTTGTACTTTCTGTTTCCATTCTTGCTCATATTTACCTTTTGGTTCCTTCCATAACGCCTGCAAGACTGGCCACCCATTTTTTTGAGTGTCAAGGACATATGTATTTTGGGGTTCAAGAGCATGAGCTCGCAATCCCATTACTAAGCTCTGACACAAACGGGTGCAGATACAAACCTGTTATTAATGCAGAGTTAAACATATAAATGTGTATTATTTAGTCAGAAAGCGAGAAGAAAAAAAGGGAGTGAGATGTGAACGTTATTTTTCTTACCTTGAGCAGGTCAAGGGCCACATGAGTCAGAGGCCTCTCCCGAGAGTAGCCGACCAGGACCCCGGCTATGTCCTGCACGTCCCCGCTGGTGATGGCCATGTAGGCGGCGGTGAGCGCGACGTCAAACAGCCGCGGGGCGCAGTGGCAGTCGCCGAGGTCGAGCACGCCCGTCACGGAGTACGGCGACGGGGCCCCCTCGGCCGCGCGCGCCACCACTATGTTGAACTGGTTGAAGTCCCCGTGGATGAGGCCCGAGTCCCCGCGGAGGAACTCCGCCTGCGCGCCCGTGTCCCGCTGGAAGGCCTCCAACACCTGCGCGCAGTAAACCGGCCCGTCATTGCGAACTCCTCACCCCTCCCCTCCCCTCCCCTCCCACCTCACTCCCGCTCTGTCGAGGGAAGACCCACCTCTTGCACCAGAGCGCGCCTGGACTCGTCCACCACGTAGCTGGCGTACTTCAGGACCCGGGGCGCTTCCCACAGGCTCCACTCGGTCGTGCGGGACTTGACGGCGGGGAAGTCCACCCCCTGAGCAGATTTCGCAGTGAGTAACTCACAGGATTACAAAAGATGATAACGATGCGAACAGTTATTTTCCTACTTACGTCCACCACGTTGTGGATCCTTGCGAGTTCCCGGCCCGCCTGGTCGGCAAAGTCAGGCTGCCAAGGCACTTTGCCTAATGTTTCTCCAGGGATGAACTCGAAAAGACGCACAGCGTGGCCAGGTCCTAGGAAGGGCATAAATAAGACGTGTGAAGGGCGCGGTTCAGTTCAGGGTGGAGAGGGGGGGGGGGTGCTCTCATTGGCGGGTGTGTCCTGCGCAGAACAGACAGCGCATCTCGGTTTAAACCACTGTCTTGTCATAGTAGCTCGCGATCTGACCCCTCAAGTACCTCAGAAGCGTACTCGAAAGGGATTAGAGAGCCCAGAACGGAAAGGCCCGCAACTATCACAGCTCCCTCGACCGGGGATTTTGAGCGAAAGAGGGGTACACATAGCGACAAAAGTGCAAAGCTTACCCCCTTCCCGAAGCTGCTCGATGGAGTATATCTTCCCGTCTTTGTTTCTGACTGGGCGTGGACAGTTCATGCCGTGATCGGCTGAAAAAAAAGAAGTAGTAGTGGAGTGGAAACGAAAAGTGGGGTGCCTTGTAGAGGATGTTCCTCTACAACCCTGTGCTTGCCGCGTTACCCACCCAGGTGCAAGATGAGTAGTGTCTGCTCCTCCAGAAAGGCCAAGTTCCGGCTGTCCAAACTGTTGGTAACCTTCAGGGTGTAGCCGGCCGCGGCGACCTCCGTCAGGGAGGGGTTGTCGGCAACCTCGTGGTTCTGGAAGTCACGTTTCCCGCTCATTGACTCCGCACTCGAGGTGTAAAGACATTGTCAAGTTGACGCGCAAGGTTGAAATCGCACGGCAACTTACCACATGGGTTCCATCCCGTTGCATCATCAATTTAAAAAAAAAGATGGCATTCTTTAGTAAATTACTTTTGGTAGCGACAGAAAGTTCATTTTGATTTGACATGTGCAACATCCCCGACTCTCTTATCGACTGTCATTGCCTTTATCAAAAGTACTGTACTCTTTTGGGGTCGGCGCCCCAGTCTCCAAGTGCGCATCTTACACCCCTCCCCCCGGCCGCTGCGTGGGACGCGTTCGCGGAGGGTAGTGTAGGCAACTCAGTTTGAGCGTGAGCCACTTCCCTCCCTCCACCCCCTCTCCCTCCTCATGATTCCCAATTGTTTTTCCATCTCACCTGAAGCCAAAAGTTCCTGTCGTCGTATCCGTCCAACGCTTTCGCCGTGCCTCCACTTAAACCGTACAGGCGCACTGCCAGTGCCAGCGCGGCCTGAACGTCCAAGCTGGGGCACTCCATGTCGTCCAGGGCGACGTCCTTGGGAGCCTCCGCCGCCGCCGCCGCCGCCGCCATGGCCACCGTGTGCAGCTTGCAAAACTCGTCTGCCACCGACGCCGTTGCCCACCGCACAGGCTCGCGTGATAAGGATATGTGCAGGACGAAAAGATAACGCCCTGTCCGTGCAGAAGAGGGGCCCGAAGGCGGACGCGGAGTCTGTCGGGAGGACGGGCGAACGCGTCCAGCACTCTCGCGGCACTGCAACTGCAGCAGCCGACTCGTGGCCAGTTGATCGCTCCGTCCTCTCCCTCTCCCTCGTCTAGGGCCCAACAGAGACGCCCGGGCGGCACTTAATCTGAATGTTCTTCTTGGAGGGACTAGTCAACGCTCGAGTTGTGAGGGACGTCCGAGCTTGCCGCAGGGCCTTGACCGACTGCCGGGCCGGGCTGGAGGCCGGCGGGAGCGGGAGGCATCTAGGCGCAGGGGAAAGGTGGTGGTGGGGATATGGTGGCGACAGAGATCGGAGCTGAAGGGCGAAGAGCAGGACCTGGTTGCATCGGTGGGGCCAGCGCGGGGGCGGCCGCCGCCTGAAGGCTAGAATAGAATAGGGTTTGCATTCCCGCGCCTCGACGGAAGCGGCCACCGCGTCAAGCAATCAATCTAGAACCATATATGGAGGAGGTGTAAAATGATACGCTTGAGTTTAAATCCCATGAGAACTTCCTTCGAATAATAACTCCGTCATAGACTTTTCTCGGAAAAAATTTAATTCACAAAAAAAAAAGAAAGAACATAACACGTTTTGTATTGTTCCTAGCCGAAAAAGACCGTGAAGAAGTAAAAATTCGAAGAAAGTTCTCATGGGATTTGAACTGTATCTCACCTTTTTACATGCACTCCAACCGTCTACGTTACTAAGAGTTAGTAAATGACGAAAAACCGACAAGGAACAAACACCTTCAACTTCCATCCCTGACCGCGTCGTCATGGAGCAGGGAGACTACTCTACTTCTACACGCAGAAGAAGACGGGACGTAAACAAAACGAGCGGTGCTTTTATTATTGATTCGACATCCGCCCCGCCGAGGCCTACACGGAGGCCTCGCTCATCTCCTCGCGGTCGCGGGCCTCGGTGGCCGGCTGGTAGTAGATGTCCCCCGGCGCGGGGTTGAAGGTGCGCGCGCTCCCGGCAAAGGGCCCCGTCCTGGGCGCGGGCTTCCGGCCCTCCAGCTCGTGCTGAATCACCGCCAGCGGCTTGCCTGGGGACATGTCATGTTAAGTCAGAATTGTGGTGGGTGGGTAGAGGGACGGGGGAGGAGGGGATCCTCTGGCACCGCCACCGACCTTTCGTCTCCACGACGACGAACCACGCGAACAGCGCCCCGGCGCACGAGAAGCCCGAGAAGAGCCACATGGAGCCGTGCACCCCTATGCCGGCGCACACATCGGGGTAGAACTTCATGACGATGAAGGCGAGGATGGAGCAGAGCGAGATGCTCATGGAGGTGGCGAGGCTCCGGACGCTCGAGCTGAAGAGCTCCGAGACGAGGATGAAGGGCACGGGGCCGGCGCCCACCGCGTAGGTCACGCTGTACAGCGACAGGCAGACCACGGGCAGCCAGCCGATGGACGTGATGTCCTGGCCCAGTGCCTGTAACAAAAACCGAGTTCGTAGTCAATGCATCCTCCATCTTCCACCTCGCGCCCAGGCCCAGAAAATGTGCAGAAATGTTACAGACGGAAGCTCCCGTACCTTCTTCATGTAGAAGCAGCCACCCAGGATGGCGAGGCACACGCACATGGACACGTAGGACACGACCAGCAGGACCCTGCGGCCCGCGCGGTCCACCGCCACCGAGGCGATGCAGACGCCCACCAGTTGCAGGAAGCCCACGATGATGGTGGCGACGACGGGTTCGAGCGAGCTGCCCGACTCCTGCGGCGCGGACAGAGACGGGCCTGTTTAGGCGGCGGGTTGCTGGACAGATTGTTCACTATGACGGGTGTATTTTCGTTCGTATCTCACCGCGAAGATTTCGACCGTGTAAGAGAGGATGGCGTTGATGCCGTTGAACTGCTGCGCGGTGAAGAGGGTCATGACGATGAAAAGCGCGCGCCGCGACGCCTTGGTGGCCACGAGCTGCCGCAGATTGTCCATGGCGCTCGGCGTGGAGGAGGCGCCCCCGGAGCCCTCGTCGTGGCCGTCCTTCATGTTGGCCACCAGCTTGGCCAGCTCGTCGTCCACCAGGTCGGCGCGGCCGCCGCGCAGCCAGGTGAGCGAGCGCACGGCCAGCGGCACCTCGCCGCGGCTCAGCAGGTACACGGGCGTGTCCGGCAGCCACAGGAAGGCGACGAAGAAGGCGCACGGCAGCGTGAGGCACACGATGGCCAGCACGCGGAAGCTGCTGAAGGCGCCCACGACGAACGTGAAGAGGATGCCGGCCGTGAGCATGATGGAGAAGAGCGAGCCGAGCAGGCCGCGCAGCGAGTCCTCGGACGTCTCGCCGACGTAGAGAGGGCACACGACCAGCGAGGAGCCCCCCGCGAGGCCCGCCAGCACGCGCCCGACGTACAGCCACGCAATCTGACAACCGTGGACAAATCGTGAGAAATGCAAATTATGGAATAGCACGTTGAGTGCGGCTCATTTTTGGTGCCTATGACTTCACGTAGTGGACCACGTAGTGGCCACGTCCACGTCACAGTGAACGTGATAACCTGTTTAAATTTCTCCTAAATTGTTCGGCTTTAAAAACAATAATCTTACATTTTACAACCATTCATGAAACCTTTGTTATTCGTTTTCAAAAATTTAGCATGACTTACGTGGTCTGCAAACAAGATGCAGAGCCACGACACGACGTAGGGGACGGCCCCGACCAGCCCCGCCTTCTTGCGGCCCAGGCGGTCGGCGAGCCAGCCGAAGACGAACGTGCCCACGACGCAGGCGGCGCACAGCACCGCCGACAGCCAGGACATGTCGTTGTTGGAGATGATGTACGCCTCGCCGTCCATCAGGAGCGGGTTGACGTCCGTCTCGTTGGACTGCAGCTGCGGCTGCGCGATGGCGGGCCAGCCCAGTGTCGTGCCGAACACGAAGCCCAGCATGTTCACTGTGGGCAGGTGGGCATGTATGTACTCAGCGCGCTCAGAGCGGCCGTGAACGCAGCAGACTGCTGGGCCGTGCACAGGGGCACACTGCATCGTGCAGATCGTGCGCCTTGCACACTACGTTACCCGCACTTCACTGACCGGTGATGGCGGCGAGGTACTGCTTGAACGTCCGCGCGCAGTTGGTGAGCTTCTCGGCGGCCTCCTCGAGCTGCGGGTCCGTCGAGTACCTGCGGAGCAGCACCACCGCGGTGGCCTCCGGAAGGGAGGGCGGCGAGAGCGACGACGCCATCCCGGACTCGTGGAGACAGCGCGTTCACTGGGGTACTCCCGGCACCATCACGCCCGCGACGCACGACGTCCGTGACGAGGTTGGCGAACTATCGGTCCCGGTCGACAGGCGACGGCGCCCCTCATCGCGGTTCTCGGTGACCTCATACCCGCAGAGCCACCCAACCCCAACACGCACTTTGTCGCATGTTTCGCACTGTTCTGTACTTTTGTTTTCAATAATAAAAGAAATCTCGCCCTTTTCAAACTAGACCGATTTTGAGAGGTAGTTCGCCTGTCGGGTGTTTCGGCACCGGAGGCACGCGCCGGGGAGGTGAGCAGCGGCAGCTCGCGGCTGGTCCAAACTGAGGGAGGACAAGCGCTAGCTCTCCCGCTCCGCGGGGTGGGGCTCGCCATGGGTGCGACGAGGACGGCACGCACGCACCTGTAAGGCGTCACCGAGCCCCCTCCGAGCACCTCGTTAGCAGCCCCGGGCTACCTCTGATGCGACCTGAGTGATGTCCCACTCCCGCTGCGGGCGGGGCGGGCGGAGACGGAGGGAAGGGCGTGCGCCGCAAATTGTCGTCAAGGAGATAAACCGCGCGGATTAAGCGCCACCTGCTCGCCGTGCCACGAGCACCAGCTGACTGCCCCCTACAGCTGGACACCGCATATTTGTACCACAGCAGGCCCTAGTAGCACAGAACTGTCGTACGATTGTCGGACAAAAGTAGAAAAAAGATACGGACTATCGGTGCGATATACGAAATTAGAAAAATGTTTCTATTGCTATACTATCTTTTTTCCTCGGAACGAAAATCTTTATCGGCTAGCTATCAGAATGGAAGCGAAAATAACCACTGTTGTGGATTTGACCAGGAATCGATATAAATACAACAAAATGTTAGATGGTTTAAATTTGATAGACCAGCGACAATCGTCTGACTCTGGAAAATCCATCACTTTTGGATTTTCGTTATCGTCACAATAATTGGCCGATTGAAAAAAAATTACACTATGCGCGACAGTTGTGTGTTACTGGGGGGGGGGGTGTAAATAACACGAAGTCCCTGTTAGTACAGACGTTGGTCCTGAACCTCCCACACGGAGAGCACTCTAGGACACGTAGGATGTGCACGATGCGAGGGCGCACGCACCAAACGTCTAGTGTGGCTCCCCTAGGACGGGCATTCGCCTCCCATTCCCCTGGCTTAGGCCCGACCCGACCTCCAAAGTCATAAGACCTGGGGCTCGCGGGGTGGCGCTAACGACGAGGCGCCATCCCGACCAGGCAG